GCGGCCACAGGCAACGTCCGATGTCCTCCGAGGTGGCGGAGCGGGTAGCAGGGGGTGATGGAGAGAGGAAGATGTGCAGGCAGGAGAGCGCTGCGGGCAGCATCACGGTGCAGCTTGTCCATCCCTGCATCCTCAGCTGCTTTCTCCATCCTTCGCCTCGCACCGGTCCCCGTTGGCACACGGGTCCCCGTTGGCACACGGGGCTGAGCCAGGCACGCAGCCTGTTCCCTAAACCCCTCCAAAGCAGGAGCGGAGCAGGGAAGCGGCAGCCGGGCAGCCCAGTTCATGCCGGCACATGCACAGAGGAGGGAGCGGATCAGCGTTGGACCTTGTCCTACCAAACTGGCTGACGACACCCCAGCCCAGCTTGCGGCAGCAGCTCCTGCGTGCAGTCGGTGGCAGGTGCGGCTGGGGGACGGCTCTGCCCCGGGTCCGGTCCCTCCTGAAGCAACGACGGCCAGGGTTACGTCATCTCTGGGCAGCCCGAAGACGGTCGGGATGGAACCGGGCACGCTGGGGTGGCACGAATCCAGCGTTTTTTGTGTGGCGGGAAGCGCCGTGCCAGACCAGGGCTGCCCGTGCACCGGGGAAGAGAAAAACCCAACGATGGGAACAAGCCCCCCAGGCTGGCACAGGACCACCTGTCTCTTGCCTTCTCTAAGGGATGCTTTGAGCAAAAATCATGAGCAGAGGGATGAGAAACCCCCCGGTTGGACGAGGCAACAGGCAGGTCCCCCCCGGCGCCGGCCAGTCCCAAATGTCCTGAAGTCAAGCCAAGTGTCTTTAACCGCGATCCCACCACGGGATGAACGTGCTTACAGTAATCCCATGATTTACGGCTGTTTATCCCCCGCTCCTCCTTGGAGCCAGCTTCAGCATTACTCCTGCCTTTCTCACCCAGTTTCTCGAGGGGTTGCCTGAGGCAAAACTGAGACCAAAAGTTTCACCCTAAAACATGAAAGGAGAAGTTTGTCAGCATGAGCAGCATCACGTTGAGGAGATCACCCCAGCTCCAGCTCCTCTGCCCTGCTCTGGATTTGTCCTTGTGGATGGATGGATGGATGGACGGATGGATGGATGGATGGATGAAGAGCGGGCAGGAGGACCCCACCATTTCACGCTGCCTTTCTCTGCCTGGAAAGAATTTCTTTCTAGCTTGGAAAGAAAGCCCACACGTGGCTGACAGGGAAACTTCAGGGCCAGGTTTATCTCGGGTGCTTCATCCCACACAGAGTTGGGCACTGTCCCGCTGCTGCGGTGGGTGGTGTGTCCCCCATCCCTCCGGCAGCCGGGCAGGGGATGTGCTCAGATGAGACAACCCCCGCCCCGAGCATCTTCCCACGAGGAGCCGGCCTGGTCCGGGCGCTGGCTCCTCAGCTGGTGCTTTCCTTCCAGCCGGACCTGCAGGATCCTTAGGGGGTTCATGGGAGCACCAAGCCCCCCTGTGATGCCTTCTCCTGGGGACATTATCAGCTGGGGTGACTGTGACCCTTCAGTCCCCCAACTCCAGGGAGAAGGGAGAGGGAGCATCACCCCAGGAGGACCACAAACCTCCAGGTAACGTCCCAGGGTGGAACCGGCATGCCACCACCCCCGTCTCGAGCATCTCCAGGTGCATCCCCAGCAGGCGCCAGCCTGGCAGACAGCACCCTCCACCATCTTCAAGGTGCCAAACATGCCAAATCGGAGCCACGTAGCGTGTCCGGGTGCAGGAAGAGGCCCTGACCCACCAGCAATGACGTTGCCCAGCCCTTGAGCAAGACCCAGCAAACCCCTAAATCCTGAAGTTCTGCTTTTGCAATGAATTTTCTAACTGTGGGCACGTTGCGCGGTACAAGCCCCATCCACAAGTGACGCACAGTGGCTCGCACTCGCGGAGCATCAAAGTTTGCTGAAGCCGGATGTTTTCCCCCAAAAGGCGCCAGCCGTGGATGTTGGAGATTTACAGTCCAGGAATGGCCATAAAACTTGTGTTTTAAGAGCAGCGGTT